TATGCGTATGTTCGAGCTATTTAATGGAATTGAATACCGGAGTATTGTTTGCTGTTCTTAACTGCTACCATGGAGCAGAATTGGAGGTCATGTGTGGGTCATGTGACCCTAAAGCAGAATTTTCTGCGCCCACTGCACACTCCTGAACACAAATACTCTCTAAACCTAATACACGCTTTCTTTGCACAACTACAAACAGTTGGAGACCTAGGAGACACTCTGAGATTTATTACAGACTCCATCATGCATCCAGGGTTAATTTCAGTGCTGGCCGGGATGAACAGAAGCTTTGAGGGGAATTCATCTACGGTACTGAGACAGCTAAACAAATGCTCCTCATTGCACAGCCTGCAAAGGCGGATCTGTGATAAGTAACAAGGATTCTGAAGCCTCCTTCTGTACGTTCTTCTTGGTTGGACATGACACAGGGGGCATAAGATCAGTGTCAGCAGCAACCTCTGCAATACCTAATGATACAGTACTGGATTTGTGTTATGGTCACATGCAACCCCTATAATGGGCAGCACAGTGGCTCAGTGGTTAGCACTTCTGCCTTGCAGCGCTAGGGGTGCCTGGTTTGAATCCTGGTCAGGACACCATCTGCAAGGAGTTTACATGTTCTTTCTGTGCCTGCAGGGGTTTCCACCCATGTGCTAGCAGGTTAATTGGGCCCTATATGTGCATGTGAGATAGGGACCTTAGAGTGTAAGCTCCTTGGGGGCAGGAACTGATGTGACTGTGCACTATGTAAAGCACTGAGTGATTTGTCAGTGCTATATAAATACCTGTAATAAATAATGGGGCCCCCATCCACTCCCAGACTGCGATGGATATTGTTATGCCACTGCTTGGTGCTGACATTGCTGGCAGGGTACCGGTTAACCTCTGCCCAGCACTATCAAATGTACAAAAAGCTGCAAAAGCTCCCCCGAGCAGCATAATGATTGATAAGTGTCCTCCAAAAAGTCACATCGCAGCTGCAGTAGTATGTAAAATTTTAGTAGCCTGCCAAGTCCTCATCAACCAGAGGAAGAAAAGTATCCAAATGTGACACTGAGAGCTGCAGATGTACAATATTGGAGCTGCAGAGGGATCATTAGGGCCCCTCCAGTTCGAATCTCCTATTTGCCGGTAAAGCCATCTGCATACCCAGGGCCGTCTGCATACAGAGATTTATCTTTCAAATAATGGGATCCTTAGGATTGCCTTTAGGTGTATAAGCCGCTGAAGTTAACACATGGCAGGTTTGATCATGGAACATTGTTGGCTTCTTTTGCAAAACAATTTAAAAAAACACTGCGGCCCCACAACAATTTTTGTGTGTGTGTGTGATTGCAGACACTAGACACAAGGCTGTACTAAAATGAAAATGTTATGTCGGTAGAGAATGGCCCATCTGTAAGAAGCAATATATAAAAGTACATTTTGGCATTGACCACAGGGCTTGTTCACACCAAATGCAGACCAGATCTGCATGAGTTTCTGCACACGCAGTGCAGTGGGTTGTGCCGCGTTTTTGCCGCGTTTTTGATGCGTTGCGGGCCGTTTAGAATGGGCTTTTGG